ATTTCTTTTTCTTTTTTCGGAAACATTGTCTTCCTTCAATCTCTTCGACTTCCATATCCAGAAAAAGAAATATAGCCAGTAACTCTTTAAACCAAATAAACTTTTTGGGATAAATGTTTAAATAGTAGATAAAGTAAAAATAATTTGAAATTTTACATTAGTCTACATGATAACAATAAATGATAAGAAGCAGTTTTTGAAATGATCCATCATTTAAACGGCTTTTGTTAATTAAAACAGTGGATTATTATATCAATTCCTTGTTATTAAATCAAAAACTTTTTACTTTCAAAAGTGATTGTTTCAAACAATTGTGGTTTTCGAATTATGCCTGGTTCTTTTATTTTATTAATACTTTTACTTGTAGTAATTAATTGATTCTTTTGACATTGGAATAATATGAATCTCTAGAAATTTGATCCAAATTATGTAACAAACAAAGCTCAAAAACTATAAAACTTAAAACCTTCCCTCTAGTTGTTATGTAATGTTTCTGTAAAGTTTTAGAGAATTTTCAATTATTTTAAATGTACAATGAGAACGTGTATATTTCTAGAAATGCTTTTGAGATAAATTGAAAAGCTATTTTAAGTTCTTAATAATTAACTCACTTCAGATATGTGACAAGACCAGAAAAATAAAACAAAATACGTGTTGGAAAATTTTTATCGTAATGTGAATGTAAATTTGTTTATGATAATAAAAAGCGTTGTTTATTTTTAGCATTTAATTCGAATTAATAATACTGGAATATCAATTTTCCAAAGTAATCATTTTAATTAAAATTCCATTTCCTTTCTTACAAAATCAACACTTTCAATTGCAAAAAGGTCTAGACTAATTTGTGATACTGTCCTTTGTCAGAACTATTTCATTGTCTTTAACTGTACGGAGTTATGAATGAATTCTGAACATTGAATCAGACTTGCGTATAAAAAGCGTCTTTCTCTTGGAGTTTCCGGAATATTTCAATTGAAGCATAAAACGAAGGCCGCCATTAATTTAATGAATTAAACATAAGCAAATTTTAGTCTATATTGAAAATAAACTTACATAATACGTATTATTATTATTGTAAACAATATGCGGTAGTAAACACTAAAATATTGAAACAAATTCTATGACAGTTTTATTTAAATACAATTTTATTAAAAATATTTAACGTAAAGATTTCATCTTACTGTATCATCATCAGGAGCAACAAAATTTAGAAAGGACTTTATTTATTTGCGGTGATGTTCATGAAACACATTCAGAATTTATAAACCGTAAAGGAAAGTAAAATAAAATAATATTCGCATGATTTCTTTGTCAGGAACTTGAGAAGACATCCTGATACATGACGATGAACTCCAACTTCATCATCATCATAAGGTCGTCAGTCCTAAGACTGGTTGGACACGTACCTCCACTCTTTCCTATCCTGAGCTAACTTCGCATTTCCCTAAAACTAGAACAGCCCACATCCTTAACTATTTGCGAAGAGTAATCTAATCTAGGGCTACCTCTACCCCTCCTAACTCCTGTTTCTGCCTCTAATATGTCTCTGACTAGACCTTCATGCCTGGGAAGGTGTCCTACCAACCTATCTCGTCTATTTTTTATTGACTTCCATAGAGTCCTCTGTTCTCCTATTCTTTCCAATACCTTTTCATTTCTAACCTTTTCTACACACGTGATTCTCAGCATCCGCCTATAACAACCCATTTCGAACGCTTCTAACCCTTTCTTTTCCGCCGCGCCCACTATCCATGTTTCGCACCCGTACAGCGCCGTACTCCAAACATACACCTTTAACNACATTTATCTGTTGTATATATTTACTATATAGATAATTTTTTACTCAAAATGGTAATATTATGTCTGGTATGTTGTATTTTTGTATGCTATGGTCAGTTTGCGATTTAATAGTCTTGTTTGTGCATGTTACAGTTTTTGGGTGTTTGGTTAACGGTTCGCTATCGTAACCAGAAAGATCCTAGAGCCAATCCGAGTGCTTTCCTCTAGTTTCTTCTCATCTAATAAACTTGTGGTGGGTCTAACATTCATTTCACTCTAGTAACGTACAGTCTATTTAATAACGAGATAATTATTAATTACTGTAAATCTTAATGGTTGCAAAGGCTTTGGCCTGATAATTATGCTGATTGGGGCTCCCACTGTAACGGTTCTGTTTTATGTTTTAATTAATAAGCGATAAAACAAATTAATGCTAATTAAATCTGAAAAGTGAAAAAACATGAAAACTAATAAATTGACATGGATCAAAATATTGAATCAAAGACTAACGGTTTCTTTTTTGGTACTGAATAACCCTAAAGATAAGAAATAAAGCAATTAGCAAACGAAAAAGATTACAATTAGCTTTTAGAGATATTATCACAAGTCTTAAGTGACGTCTGGGCCCCAAACAGTATAAGAATAACATTACTATTTTTTTCTGTTTTTAATTGCACTATATATTTTTTTTTGTTTTTTTCTTCCTTGATTAGATTGTAGGCCTGATTCTCACAAGGCATTACCGTAATTTAACAGATCCAAAGAAAGAGAAGTTAGCAAGAGCTGTCTTTCCAAGCCATAATTTCACGTATTAGTCTAGTCGCTTTCATGACCCTCTTTGACCAAAGAACAACGCAGTGATAAACACTACTATTTTATCTTATATACAATTAATTAACTAATTTATTATCTTAGGACTGCTCTTTATATTATGTTTTTTGTCTGATAAAATAAATATATACATAATCGTAGCCTGTAGTCGTGTATATAGGTGCTAAAAACTCATATACACATAAATTATACGAGAATATTGTGATTTGTGTGATAGTAGTAAAATTACCCTATCTTCAAATATATTTATATGTGTATGTAGAACAATTAAGTAGTAACTGTTCAGAGAAACTTGATTGAAATGTATTTTTGTATATTTTGTTAAGCACTAAAGTAAGTGCTTATAATTTTGCGTAAATTCTACATTTTTCTGTGAGGAAAGACAAATAATATAATTAGCAAAATCCTATATACTAAAGAATTCATTTAAATGTAATTAAATTACTACAAAAGTAAAATATATTATGTAGTACACATAAATTTTTTGTTTTTCCGTTTTTAATGGATTCTAATTCATATGCTCTTTATAATATGTAAACCGGTGCTGTTATTTATTTTTTATACCATCAGTAAATGAAAATAGGTGAAAGTAAGAAATTCGTATCTCCTAATAGAAAATATATTAGTCGATTTATTCAATAAATGCAAATGTACGTATAGCTGTTTCTATTTTACTCTATTGCATTTGTTAATTTTGTCTAATGCATGTAAAATAAATTATCTTCTCTTCTTGTTACTAACTTTGGCCAATGTAACAAAGTTTAATAGCATCGGCTCAATATTAGTCTCAATTTTAAGGGATTATTTTTTAGCTTCAGGCATTTAATATTTGAAAGTTTTCAGGACTTTTCAATAATTTTGATTTCTTACATTGGTCAATGAGATCTTCAGTTGTAATACCTTCCATAATATTATAATTCAATTAATTATATCAATGTGAACATTGTCTACCTATTTGTGTTCAGTAATAAAAAAGACATGAGTATGTTAACAGAAATTATAAAAAGTTGATTTTTGATCGTCTGGACAAATAATTACATAGTTTTGTAGATCTCATTCTTATTGCTCAAGAAAATCTTCCTGACTTTGTGGTGTGTATTTGAAATTGTTTTTGTTTATGTGCAAAATGTAATCCATACAACTGATAAGAATTAATATATTGTGCAAATTTTTTGTTGATAATATCGTAAATTAGTAGCGTATATGTAGAAATGAGGCTAAATAAATACGTATGTAGCTTGTAAATAATAATAAAGTGTCTGACTGATAACGTCGTTTTTTTTGGCAGATATTCGATTAATTTTTTTCCTAAGATTCCTAAATTTTACCTACGTGACAGTAAATATAGCAAATGATGTTTGTTTTATTACTGTCTGTATTATGGTACATTTCAAGTAATATAAGCATTATTCAGTTTTTATAATAAATAACGAAAATCTATTAATAAAATCCTATTTTGTGCATAGATTGATATTTAAGGATGTTAGTTCTTCCCCCGTCCCCAGCCATTTTTATTGCTCCACTATGACGTAGTGTCGGCCATCATTCTTTTCTAATTGTTGCAGTTGTCGGCCATCATTCTTTTTCAATTGTTGTCGCATTGTCGCTGATGTCGGCCATTATGGGTTTTTAATAGATGTATAGTAATCAATGATTAAAATTTAAAGGAATT